TTGATTTATAATGGATGTGTGGTCTCAACAACTTTATTTAGCCATTCAAATAAATTATGAAATACATTTCCCAGCAGGCAAAATGAAGATGAATTAAACCAGGCACACAAGACTCCTTAGGATAGTTAGGCCAAGAGTCCAGGGCCCCTAGGAGATGTGTCAAAGAGAAAGCAGCGCAGAAATTCTTGCATATTCCTCACTCTTGGCTGAACAAGGCACCTCCCAGAACACAATCATATTAATTCCCTGGCCAGCTCTTCAGGCTCTCCATCAGATCTCCATTAATATACTAATAGCTCCAAGCTTTTAGTAAGCACATGCTTCATAATGGAAAAGCCACAGATCCAAGGCAGGATCAATTCTCCTTCCCACTGCATTACATGTAATTACTGCTGCATCAAGGCAATAGCAAGTTCCTTCCTGAAAGTCTGAGGTGCTGGTTATCCTGGGGGAACTGGTTTGCGTGCAAACACACATGCACATCCTGCCAGCCAGATAGGAGCTAAGAAAACTGCAGCGGACATGGATCACAAGGATTGCCACGACCAAACACCAGACTAAAGCCACTTAAGGAAGGCCTTGGCTTTGCTCGTGGTTTCGGAGGACTTCAGCTCATCATAGCAGAAAAGGCGCAGCAGTAGGAGTGATTTGGTTCATGAGAGGGCCGAGTACATCATGGCAGCCAGTCAGGAAGCAGAAAGCAGGCACAGAAACAAGGCTGGACGACCGCCTTTAAAGCCTCACCCCAGTGACCCATCCACATCAACCAAGCCCCACCTTCTAAAAGGTTCTACAGCCTCTAAAACAGCACCACAACTGGAGAACAGGTGTTCAAGCATGAGAGCCTGAGGGGCAATGTCACATTCCCATCAAAACATCATAGCAAAAGGGATCCTTTCCCCAAGGTGTAATCCTGATCAGGAATCACTTTGGGTGCAGGAGAGATGGCTCCATTGGCAAGAGTGCCTGTTGTACAAACAGGAGAACCTGAGTTCAAATCCTCAGCACTCACATAACTAGCCCAGCAAGGCTGTACCTGCCTGTAACCCTAGCACTGGGAGGCAGAGACAGGTGAGTCCTAGGAACTCAGCAACTATCCAGCCTAGCCTAAACAATGAGCTTCCAATTCAGAGACCCTGTCTCAAGGCAACACACTGGGGAGGAATAGTGGTAGATACCAATGTCCTCCTCTGTCTTCCACATGTACATACCCAGGTGCATGCACTCACGTTCACAAGCATGCACCACACATAGATACTATAAACACACACACACACACACATACACACACACACACACACACACACACACACACAAATCACTTCTTTTTTCTTTTTCATTTCAAAGGTGGGTATGTGAACATCCACTTTCAGGAAAATAGGGTAGATATATTCATCATACACTTCCCAAAACAGGCAACTAAAATTTGGGGTCATTATATATAAAATAAATATAAGAAACTATAGATAAGGCAACAGAGTGGATAGCAACTTCAAAACTTAAGAAAAGAAATGATGAGGTCTACAAATATTCCTTTGCCCTCATCTATTCCAAGATTGAAAGTGAAGTAGTCAATAACCCACACACACCACCACTAAGCAAAGATCATAAAAATCCCCAGAAGTCTGCTCTGCCTATCCAAAGGGTCAGGACAGCTATCGAGAGAAACAATTTTTTACGTGGTAACTGCTTTACTGCATTACCAAAAGTGCCCCCCTACCAGTAAAATGGGAAGCACAGAGGAAAAGCCGCCCATGGACTGTCATGTAGAACAATATAAATGATCTGATATGAACAAAGAGAAAAGGGCTCCAGAGACCTCTGGGACAAAACCAGACATCCTGCATTCAAGATCCAAAATGTGAGCAAATTTAACAAGAGACATAATTGAAGAAGCCTAGTGAATCTCAAACAGGATAAGCCCTAAGAAATCAACATCTATACACAGCATAAATAAAAGTCATGTAAATCAAGAAAAAAAAAAAAACAAGAAATCACAAAATCCAATAGAGAAAATGACCCATGGAGGAAAAGTAAATGAAATCAACTCACTCACTAAAAACTACAAAAGCCAGGGGAAAGCTGTGAGTAAAGGGACATCATTAACCCAGAATTCTATAACTAGTAGAACTAATCTGTAAGAGATGAAGACAAAAACAATACTTTTATATAAAAAGTTAAGACTATGTCTCAGGCAGACCTACCTTAAAAGGACTAGTGAGACATGTATTGGCTAGTTTTCTGTCAACTTGACAAAAACCATAGTCACTGGGGAAGAAGGAACTTTAGCTAAGAAAATATCTCCATCAAAGTGGCCTATAGGCAAGTCTGTGGGGGCATTTTCTTATTAATGATTGATATGGGCAGGCCCAGCCCACCGTAGGTGCTGCCACCCTTGAGCAGGTGGTCCTAGGAAGTGTAAGAAAGGTATCTGAATGTGAGCCTGAGAAGCAAGCAGCATTCTTTCATGGACTCTGCCTCAGTGCCTGCTTCTAGGTTCTGCCTTGAGTTCCTGTCCTGACTTCCCATCATCGTGAACAGAAAGCTGTAAGATGAAATACTCTTTTATGCCCAAATCCTTTTGGTCATGGCCTTTATACCAGTAACAGAAAGCAAACTAATACACTGGCCCACAGCTCTGTCCTTACCATGCTAAGGCCATGAACATACAGAGTGTTTAATAAAACTCAAACAACAGAGTCTGTTTTGCTCCTAAGATTCATATAGCACCAGATGAGAAACTTCCCCTCCAACATCAACTGTATGTTTTAGGCTGTATAAAAGTAGATTAAATATAATAGCCAAGCCCAGCACTGAAGACAAATAGACTTTGTAAGACGACAAAAAGAATCATGCACCCCCTACCACAGAAATGAAAACTCTATACAGGGCTGTCCACATTAAGCTGGAACAAGGAAAAAGCCAGTAAGTTACCTACATTAAAACTACAACTAAGATTAACACCAAATACAGAAGCAGCCAGTGGAACAGAAGTCAGGACACAGAAGAAAACTTTATGTTTTATATTTAAAAACATACGGTTTAGACATTTACAACTAGATAGTTGAAAATATAATGTAGACTATAAAGAAAGCCACAAATTAAAATCCAAAATATTTTAGAACTAATAAAGTAGAAACAGACTGAGCAGGATTGAAAATCAAATTGAGAGAAGGTAGGCTTAAGACAATCAGGCTAAAAGAAAGATTTTTTAAAAAAAAAAAAGATTAAAGTGGTCAAATAAATAGATGAAAGGAGAGAAATGATCCATTATACAGATGGTTGGTATCCATGAAAATGGTGGAGAATGATGTATGCAGAGGAGAAACTGCTACTACTACAGTGGTCTGAATGAGAATGGCCCCAGAGACTTGATCCCCAGTTGGGGGCTGTTTAGGAAGGATTGAGAGCTGTGGCCCCTTTAGAGGGTGTGGTGGTTTGAATAAAAATGGCCCCCATAGGCCCATAGGGAGGGGCACTATTAGGAGGTTCGGCCTTGCTGGAGTACCTGTGGCTTTGTTGAAGGACGTGTGTCATTAAGGGGTGAGCTTTGAGGTCTCAGAAGCTCAAGCCAAGCCTGTGTGTCACAGTCCCCTCCTGCTGCCTGAAGATCCAGATGTAGAACTCTCAGCTACCTCACCATCACTGTGAATTCCTGTGTGTGGCCCACCATGCTTCCCACCATGATGACAATGGACTAAACCTCTGAACTGTAAACCAGCCCCAATTAAATGTCTTCCTTTATAAGAATTGCCACGGTCATGGCAAACACTCATACGTGTGAATTTTTTTTTTTAATATTTTTTTAATGGCATAGAAGAAAGCTAGGGAGATGGCTGTTAATAAAGTGTCTGGTATTCAAGCATGACTTGAGTTCAGATCCCCAGCACCCACTTAAAAAGCCAAACACTACTGCATGAGCCTATAATCCCAGCACTGGGGAGCTAGAGACAGGAAGGAGGGTTGCAAACCAGACAATCTAGCCAATAAGCAAGCTCCAAGCGAGTGACCTTGTCTCAAAAAATGAGAAGGAAAATGAAGAGACACCCAGAGTAAAGCCCTGGCCTTCACAAGCAAGTGTACACACAGGCACATATGCACACACATGAACATATATACACACACACAGTAACATTGTAAATAAGTGACAAAAAATAATAATCATAACTCAGATGATGGGTCTAGCAACAAATCATAAAATAAGAAGAGTTTTAGGTACTGCACCAACATGATGTTGAGTTCCAGATAAAACTTAAGAAGCGTGGGAAAGCTTTGAGCTATTTCAGGGCCACTTTGAATTCCATTTCAAGATTGTTACTTTATGAAAATCAAATAAAACGAAATCTAAATCCTGAATGGGTAGCTCCTCTAGCATGGGTCTCTTATTGAACTGCTTACCTGTGCACTCATTCTTTTTTAAAAAGATTTTTATGTTTACATGTTTGAGTGTGCAGGTGCCATGATAGACATGTGGAGAGCAGAAGACAGCTTGTGGGCGTCAGCTCTCCATTCCTCCATGTGAGTCCTGGGAACTGACAGGTTTAGTGGCAAGTCCCTTTACCCACTGAGCCATCTAAAAGCCTTGTGTATCCATTCTTAACTATGTATATATGCAAACTGTATCTGCAACACGGCTACCATTTAATATTAGCAATGGTCACGTGGCTCATGAATAGGAATTTTTATTTCTTGTTAGTGAATTCTTTATAAGAAGCAGGTACCACTTTTATAAAATAGATCATATCAGTAGGTCTATTAAATTTTAGTAGTAAATCAAACTTTTCAAAAGACATACCAAGGAAATTCTCTTACCTTAAAAATATTTCCAACAAGTTCTTAGCAGATTTATAAAATAGGCTGGTTAGCACAAATATTAAAGATGAATCCAGAGGAGTTTTCTGTCAGGATCACTCTCCCTTAATTGAAAAACTACTTTTAAAACATTGACTACAGAAGAAAGAAAAGACTTAAAATTTTCTTGCAGCAAACTGAACGAGGGGTTTGTTAAAAACACAGTACATTTATTTCAACTCTTCCTTCCCATAATTAATTTTATTTTATCACAGGCAATATCTCATTCAATCACTTTACTAGACACATACAGTCACTAGTGTTACATAAAATTGTATATAAAGTTAAATAAGAATTAAAAGGATAGCTAAAAGCCGAGTGGTGACCTGTGTGCAAGGTTTCACCTTGTGCGGCACTCTCACCCCTGAGAGTTCTTGCGAGTGGAGCTTTTCCTGGCTTTAGCCTCATTTGTGCTCTAGGGAAGACAAGGCCTCTCCTTCGAGCTTGCTCGGTGCTGCCTGACCACTGTACAGCTGGGTGTTGATCCAGTGGTACCTGTCCACCCGGCGCCCAGCAGGCCTGCACCACTTAGGGTTCCTGGGCACTGGGTGGTAAGCAGTCCCCAGGAGGCCCCCACGACCATCTGCCAAATGCTTTCTACGGGGGAGGCAGAGCCACGGTTGGAAGGACTGTTTGAAGTTTTCAACCTGGTAAGGAGAGACAGGAGAAACAACATGTGAAGGTCACTGGACTGATAGACAACTCTTGAGACTATGAGCCCATAACTCAGAAGTGAAGTCCTTCCAAAGCATGGGGATTACAAATTAAGAGAATCAAAGTAAATAGCCTTCTACAGAAAAGTTTCCAGCATTTTATGTCCCTTAGAGATCATCATCAGTTTATATCTTTAAGCAAAATGATTTTTTTCTTTGTCTTTCTTTTATGTATATGGATGTTTTGCCTGAATGTCTGTACCACATGCTTGCCTGGTGCCCAGTGAGGCCAACTGAAACCAGAAGAGAGTGTCAGATCCCCCATTGCTGGAGTTACAGTTGGTTACAAGCCATCATGTTCATGGTTATGTTCACCATTGAACCTGGGTCCTCTGAAAGAGTAGAGGTCCCTTAACTGCTAAGTTATCTCTCCAGTCCCTAAAATGAATTATTAAATGAAACTAAAAATATTTAAGCTGTGTTATAATACACCTTTAATCCCAGTTACTTGGAAAGCTGAGGTAGGAGAATCAAAAGTTTAACACCTGCTTGGGGAAATTAGTGAGATCCTCTCTCAAAAAGAAAAGAAATGGGAATGAGATAGAGCTGGAAAGTTGGCTCAATGTCTAAGTAGATATCTGTCATTCTGGGTTTAATCCCTAGCACCACGGAAAAAAAGAAACCACAAAGCATTTCAAATATATATATATATATATCCCTGGGTTGACCCTTACCCCACTCCCTCCTGACCTCTGTCAGCCCATTCCAAAACTGCCTAAAAATGATCTCTGGGGTCAGACCCATTTTAACATCCCAAATAATTGACCAAGATGTTTTATAGACAACACTCTGAAAAGACATTACTATAGAACAGTTCAGCTTCCTATACATCTGAACCCTAGGTGGAAGATGTCTTTCTCCAAAATGAAATGTTATATAGTTTTAAACTGTTATACACACACACACACACACACACACACACACACACACACTTTAAAAAAAACTGAAGGAAAATGTTTTTCAGTAATTTAACAAAAGTTTAATATGTTTCTGACCCATAATATATGATAATACATAAGGACTTCAAAAGATAGATGCAATTTCATAAAACAATTTTAGTAATTTCATTAGTGCTATCTATTACAGGGATTATTCTTCCAATTTCGTGTTTTTTATGAGAACAGGCCAATTTTAGGGGAAATGGTAAAGCAGATAGTAGAGCTAGTGAAAATTTTATTAAACACAGCTTTCTACTAGGTACTTAAGCCATATATTGGGAATCAATAAACTATCCATATTTAATGGCCTGGAAATTCCATGTCTGAGACTGAAGTCTTAAGAAATAACTTCAAGAAGAAAACAAACAAACAAACAAAAAACCTAGTTTCTATAATGATGTCAAATTTTAAAGTTTTGTTTGTTTGGGTTTTTTAATAAAGCAATGTGGAAGATTTTAAAATATTGGCTGGTAACTGTTAAAAAGAAAACAATTGAAAGTTAGCATAAGTGGTTAAGACAAAAGTATGCATACAAATTGACAGAAATCTCTTCAGATTTGTTTTTTTTTAATGGGTCATGAAATCAACTTACGACGCCTGTAATTATCTACTGAACAGTCAGAACTACTGCAGTGGGAGGCTCCTGGTAAATATTAACATTGTTTTATGCAACTTATTTCCACATAAATGTGCATCTCTATTTTTTTTATTTTTTATTTTTTATTTTTTTTGGTTTTTTTCGAGACAGGGTTTCTCTGTGTAGCTTTGCGCCTTTCCTGGAGCTCACTTGATAGCCCAGGCTGGCCTCGAACTCGCAGAGATCCGCCTGGCTCTGCCTCCCGAGTGCTGGGATTAAAGGCGTGCGCCACCACCTCCCGGCGTGCATCTCTATTGATGGGTTATGGTTCTATTGGTTTTGATGGTTTGAGTGTTTTGATTTTTGGATAAGCTGCCTTGAAACTGGCTATGGGTTTTTTAAAAGTTTTTTTTTTTTTTCATTGTTGTTTTGTTTTGAGAATTTGTGTTAGTGTCGAAATGAAAGTGTTCTGGTCTTCTTACATAGTCTAGGCTTTCTCTAAATGA